CCTGAGAATTTCAAATGAATCCCTCAAACAGTTTGGCTGGAAACCTGTAGACAAGCCTTGACAGACAAGATTTTAGGATGGAAAATCCAAAATGGCTGCCTTAACATTTACCCAGAATGTCGAAAAACTAATCAGTTCTAAACTTTCATAGGTACAAACATCCCTGAGAATTTCAAATGAATCCCTCAAACGGTTTGGCTGGAAACCTGTAGACAAACCTTGACAGACAAGATTTTAGGGCGGAAAATCCAAAATGGCCACCTTAACATTTACCCAGAATGCCGAAAAACTAATCAGTTCTAAACTTTCATAGGTAGAAACATCCCTGAGAATTTCAAATGAATCCCTCAAACGGTTTGGCTGGAAACCTGTAGACAAGCCTTGACAGACAAGATTTTAGGACAGAAAATCCAAAATGGACGCTTTAACATTTACCCAGAATACGGAAAAACTTATCAGTTCTAAACTTTCATAGGTGAAAACATCCCTGAGAATTTCAAATGAATCCCTCAAACAGTTTGGCTGGAAACCTGTAGACAAGCCTTGACAGACAAGATTTTAGGACAGAAAATCCAAAATGGCCGCCTTCACATTTACCCAGAATGCCAAAAAACTGATCAGTTCTAAACTTTCATAGGTAGAAACATCCCTGAGAATTTCAAATGAATCCCTCAAACGGTTTGGCTGGAAACCTGTAGACAAGCCTTGACAGACAAGATATTAGGACGGAAAATCCAAAATGGCTGCCTTATTATCAACTGTTTACCCAGAATTCAAAAAAACTAATCAGTTCTAAACTTTCATAGGTAGAAACATCCCTGAAAATTTCAAATGAATCCCTCAAACGGTTTGGCTGGAAACCTGTAGACAAGCCTTGACGGACAAGATTTTAGGACGTAAAATCCGAAATGGCCGCCTTAACATTTACCCAGAATGCCGAAAAACTAATCAGTTCTCAACTTTCATAGGTAGACACATCCCTGAGAATTTCAAATGAATTCCTCAAACGGTTTGGCTGGAAACCTGTAGACAAGATTATTTGGGACGCCCGCCCGCCTGCCTGCCCAACCGCCCGGCAAACTGATTACAAAATAGCACCTGAGGGTGCGATAAAAAAGACAGCAATGACTTAAACATCAACCAATTTAAAAAGCAAAACGCATATCTTACCAAATTAATTACTGACTCAAAGAACAACTATCAAGATAAACTTTGTAATAACGTGGATGAAGAAGCAGCAAATGGCCTAAACTACTGGACAATAGACTAGATGCGAGTAGAAAAAATCTTGATTTACGTCATTAAATATTCAAAAGTCAGTCAAAGTGATATCATATTTGAAATCTACATGTAAAAGTACATCTACAAATATGATTTCGAAAATTGTTTATTAACTTTGAAAATTTAATTTTTTTGAAAATGTGACTTCTTGCTCGGGTTGATTCCCCATAGACCCCATGTTACAAAATCGCAAAAAGAGAAATATCTTTTCTTGTATTGGACAGATAAAAATTTCTTTTACTGGACATATTTTAATTCACATAACAATTAGATACATAAGGGTTATATGAAAATTGAACCACTAAAACAGATGTAATTTAAGTTAAAGGGAACATTCTACTATACTCGCCATGCTATCTGACCCGAACGAGCCACCTGGTGGTGAAACTGGTAACTACTTACTCGCATCTGCGTTATTATAAAGAAACTTATAGGAACCCAGTTTTTTACAGGCATTCCTCTTCTTGAGATACAGTGTAAATGATAAAATTATTGATGATGACTTTGGAAAAGCAAATGCTTGTTTAAATAAGTTCATGACTAAGTTCCACCATAATATAATTGATAAGTCATTGCCGCCCTGTCCTATGAAAACAAATGAATCTTTGACTTACTTAAATATTTCTCGAAAAAATATAAATGATAACTTACGGAACCTTAATTCATCTAAAAAAGGTGGAGAAGACAATATCACTAACAAAATGTTGAAACTTGTGGCTGACTCTATCGATGTTGAACTAGTTAAACTATTCACTATTTTCTTGGAGACAAATACATTTCCTGATTGCTGGAAACTGGGTATAATTGTTCCTATATATAAGAAAGAAACATCCCTGAAAATTTCAAATGAATCCCTCAAACGGTTTGGCTGGAAACCTGTAGACAAGCCTTGACAGACAAGATTTTAGGATGGAAAATCCAAAATGGCCGCCTTAATTTTTACCCAGAATGCCGAAAAACTAGTCAGTTCTAAACTTTCATAGGTAGACACATCCCTGAGAATTTCAAATGAATTCCTCAAACGGTTTGGCTGGAAACCTGTAGACAAGATTATTCGGGACGCCCACCTGTCCGGCAAACTGATTACAATATAGCACCTGAGGGTGCGATAAAAAGGACAGCAATGACTTAAACATCAACCAATTTAAAAAGCAAAACGCATATCTTACCAAATTAATTACTGACTCAAAGAACAACTATCAAGATAAACTTTGTAATAACTTGGATGAAGAAGCAGCAAATGGCCTAAACTACTGGACAATTATAAAGAAACTTATAGGAAGCAAGTTTTCTACAGGCATTCCTCTTCTTGAGATAAATGATAAAATTATTGATGATGACTTTGGAAAAGCAAATGCTTTTTTAAATAAGTTCATGACTAAGTTCCACCATAATATAATTGATAAGTCATTGCCCCCCTGTCCTATGAAAACAAATGAATCTTTGACTTACATAAATATTTCTCGAAAAAATATAAATGATAACTTACGGAACCTTAATTCATCTAAAAAAGGTGGAGAAGACAATATCACTAACAAAATGTTGAAACTTGTGGCTGACTCTATCGATGTTGAACTAGTTAAACTATTCACTATTTTCTTGGAGACAAATACATTTCCTGATTGCTGGAAACTGGGTATAATTGTTCCTATATATAAGAATAAAAATTCAAAAACAGACCCATCCAACTACAGACCAATCTGCCTCCTCAATAATCTCTCAAAGCTTTTTGAACGAATAATTTATACAGCTATTTTTGACCATGTTTCCTCGAAGAACCTCATTTATGAAAATCAGTCCGGGTTCTTACCAGGACATGATACACAGAAGCAACTATTTTCTATTGTAAATATGTTAGCCGATAATTTTGATGAAATCTTATGGATTAGGCAACAATATTATAGAGTTATTGACCTCATATCTAACAGATAGGAAATTAAAAGTAAGGATCAATGATACTTATTCAGACATTTCATGTAATGCTGAAGCTGGTGCAAATATTCCTCAAAATCTTCAAAATCGAGACTCCAGATCCTATTAAATAAATAGTGGGGTTCCCCAAGGATCAATTCTTGGCCCCCTCTTATTTTTGCTATATATTAATGACTTAGCAGACTCAGTTCATAATTGTAAACTTTTCTTATATGCTCATGATAGTTCCATCTTCTTGACAGTACCAAAGAATGAATCAGTTGAAGCAACAAATCAAAAAATTCAATCAGATATCAATGAAATGGCTAATTGGTCCACTAAATGGAAACTCAAATTTAAGGCATCTAAGAGTAAAGAGGTTATCTTTCAGTCTAAACACACACGAAAAGTCAAGAAACAAATTCCAGTAACAATGAATAATGAGCAAATACCTCTTGTAAATAGCCATAAACATTTAGGCATCATTTTAGACAAACACCTTAGCTTTGAAGAACACATTAACTCAGTGATTACTAGGTGTAATAAAATGTTAAATCCATTAAAAGCACTCAAATTTTCAGTAAGATCAAAACACTTACAGACAATTTATATGGCATTCATTCTCCCACATCTCGAATATGGCAATATTATTTTGGACAGCGCAAATCTAAACCTCTTACCAAGTTTAGATAGAGTCCAATATAGAGCGGGTCTTATTGTAAGTGGTTGCATCAAAGGGTCAAACTCTGAGAAGGTGATGGCATGTCTTGGATGGAGATCCTTATCCAATCGAAGAAAAGAAAAAAAACTAGTTTTTATGTTTGACTTTGTAAATAATTATAAGATGCCTTCATATGTTTCAAATGTTTTTGAACAGTATAAGAATCAGGTAAGTCACCAAAGACTTCGACGTAGCAATGATTTTAAGATCCCATTCAAAGCATCTGCTAAACTTAGGAAGTTTACAGCTTTATCCAGTATTAAATTATGGGATAATTTACCTGATGAACTGAAACAAGCACACTCACGCAACTCATTTAAGTATAAAATAAGAACATTTTTGAATGGGGAAAAGAAAGAATTCACAACCCCAAGATTAAACCTATCCAGAGATAAAGAAACTGTCTTAAATAAAACGAGATGTGATCTCATTTTTAGGCAGCATCTTTTTACACATAACTTCAAAAATATTCCAAATGCCAAATGTAAATGTGGTCACTCTACTGAATCAACCAAACACCTATTGCTCCATTGCCCTCTTTTTAACATTCAAAGACTCAATTTTCACAGAGAACTAGGGGGACTGCCATCCTTTAATTTAAACTCTTTTAATAATAGAAAACAGGAAGACAGGGTAGACTTTCTACTTTTTGCAGATCCTTCTCTTGACACAATTACAAATAAAAAGGCTATTGAATTAACAGCCGAATTTTTACACTCTATTGTCAAGGAAGTTAAATAGTCCAATATTCATTAATATGTACATATATCTCTGACCTGTCTTCACGTTTTCACGATTATTTCATGTTCATAAATATGTTTTACATCTATCATTTTTACATTGTGACCTATTTTAACCTATATTGTAACTACTTTAACAGGGCCAATAATGCTTCGGCGTAGGCCTTGTATCTGTTTGTATGATGTATTATGAAATAAAGGAAATATAAAAAATAAAAAAATAAAAATCTTATTCATATATGCCTTACTTCTTCTTTCTCAATATGAATCTACCACATAAAATTATTAGTAAAAAAATATTTTTAAACCCTAATCCATGCAACTAATCCCACAATACCAATACTTACTGCTTTATCCTCTGAACCTGTTGCTATGTACCTTGAGCAGGGGCTGATTGCAAGACCACATGGGTAGACCCTGTTTTGGTGACCTTCATATCTCTGTACACACCTACATTATCAAAGGACAGATTAACTCATTTAGGTGTCAACATGTCATCAGTAGATGTAGATAAACAGTATGCAGTAGCTGTTTTTAATTATCCTATGACAAAAAATTCGGCCACGGCCAAGAAAACAAGACTGGACATGAATATTCTAAGATATTTCCAACGGATAAACAATGTGAACCAGATGAATAAGATTGGTATGGGATAAACATATTATCCTATAGTCGGTTCAGGATATTGGGATTATCCCTTGGCCACAATATAATAAATCTTCAATCGGGATCTACAGCCAATGTCCTGAACCTCATATAGGATAACCTCTATTTATACCATACTTGGACAGGTACATAAAGCCAGTTTGTAAAAACTTTTATCCCATACTTGGACGTATTACAAGTACATAAAGCAGGTTTGTAAAAACTTATATTTTCATCAGTGGCAGATATAGCTGTATTTCATACTTGAGTGGGTTTGGGGTAGATATTACCTGGGAATATATATCATATCTGAGGAGCGGGCAGGATATATTGTATATGTCCCGCTCTAGGCCAAATGCGGGCAGATATAATATATCCATCCCGCTCCCGGGAATTTTTTCAAAAGTTTAAAAAAGTTTAAAAAATTTTAAAATTTAAATTTCAGAAGTTTAAAATTTTTCAAAAAGTTTAAATGTTACAATTCTATTGTATTGAACTGAAGGAATATTATGAAAATGTTAAATATAAATTGTGCTTTTACCGTATAGGCCTATCTTGTCTTTTGAAAAAGGTGGTAAAGGTTATATCTACCCCAAACCCACTCAAGTATGAGATACACCAGTTATGTACGGTCGGTTTTGGATAGAGTGTTTATCCCGTGGGAAATATGTGTATCTCCCTCGGTCCCTGCGGTCCCTCGTGAGATACACATATTTCCCTTGGGATAAACCCTGTATCCAAAACCTCCCACTACATAACCCTTATTTACGTCCCACTTCGAGCAGGCAGATATAGTATATCTACCCGCTACTTCATAATTGCTGTTCGCATATCGGTTCATTTTTGTAACGTTTGCATGATTACTGTAAACGACAATGGAGAAAAACGCATACAATCGCGATCTGTTTGATGGTTTAAAGAAGGGAAGGAGCATACGTATCCCTGTTTATAATCAAAGATTCAAGAAAATAAATTTGGATGAGTATCTGACAGAACAGGAAAATCCAGCCTGGGCCAGGAAAACAAAACTGGACACGATTGGGTGACCTTAAATCCTCACTGGTGAAACCTAACTTGTCATTGAATAAATTGGTAGTGTAATGCTAAGTTTTGAATACGGGATATATCCCTCAAGAAATATAATATCTTACCTTGGACCCTAAAGATATATTTCCCTCAGGATATAACCCATATCCAAAACCTCCCATAACATAACCCTCATGTATGTACCTGTTCATGCGGAGGTCCCAGAGTTTTATACTGTCAGATACCGCAGCGGTTAGAAACAGATCATAAGAACTTGATGGATGACTAGCATAGGCAGAGCCCTACAAGTAAAATAAAAGGTTACAGTATATTCAATTATTTTCTACCATATTTAGAATAAGATGTTAAAACTTGCAGATTAATTTTTTCCGTATACACACAAATAATTCAAACTGTAATTACCAGATAATGGAGAGGTTAAGCTTTGCATATATAATCGAAACTGAACCTGTACGTATCACTCGACCATATACAAATTCATGTAGCCTTCTCATATAAATAGCCGTTCAAATCCAGTGTTTGTTTAGACTACACCATAGCGTGTAATGATTCTATAGTATGTCATTGATGTGGTTTTATAGCTGGTTTTCTAATACATATTTTAAACGAGCTCGTTTCGTAAGATTTTTGGCGCTAAATCATGCATGACAAACATCATCGTGTTCAGCAAGAATTCAACTGTGCATCGAAATCAAAATTGACAGCATAGTGTTCAATAGACACGAGTAAAATGGTTCCCGTTGACCCAACGTCAAATATTCAAATCTCCCGTTCTAAACCCGAAACTCTGAAGCTGAAAGAGTATCTGAAGTAGACTAAGCGTGCATAAAACTATGAGCGCTCGATACATTCCTTTGTTAATTTTTGTACTTTGCGTTCACGGTTACGTTGTGAAAAACATCGTTAGCTTAACCTCTCCAGTACTGAGTTACCACACCTTCTATATTACCATATAAACGGTAATCATATATACCTCGTACTTTCTTAGAATTTCCTAGTAGTATAGTGTTAATATTCATAATTTCCCGGTGATAGATGAAGTAAAGGGAGCCAATATTTAATTAATTTGATTTCAAAACGTATTTTTAACGGGTAGCGTCCCAATTCTCCATGAATTGCTGGTGTTGCAGTTGATTTTTTAACACCCAACAGACATTTAAGAAAAGATACATGTAGGTGCATTGTCTCTATTGTCTTTAGATGTTTTTCATTGATCCACACCTCTGAGGCATAAGTTAAAATAGGTTCAACTAAAGAATCAAAAGGTGCAATGCAACATTAATTGGAATGTCATAAAAGTTTTTATATTGCTGTAAAACTTTAAACAAAGCTTTTCTTGCTTGCTCTTTCAAGTAAAATACATGCTGGTCAAAATTCTTTGTTTTACTGAGTACACATCCAAGATATTTGTACTGCTCAACATTTTCTATAGCACTATCATTGAATGTGAAAACCGCATCAACTTTTGAGTTAAAAACTATGCTTTTCTAAAATCTATCATGATACAGAATAGTGGCTTTTTCATGAGCTTATAACAGGCTAAGATTGTGTTTAAAATATATAAATTATCTGTTGTTTGATGTCCAGGTTTATATGCATCTTGGTGTGGATCTTGAATATCTAACATTTCAGCATTAAAAACTAATACGCGATAGACGAAAACATGGTTATTAACATAAATAACTCCCGCAATGCATCACTTCAAGTGGGACAAATTTTCATTGGTTGGTTGATTAAACCAAATTCTCCCAACCTTAAAACCATGTTTTTGCGTATTGTCGGGACGATAAAGGTCATACTGGTATCAAGTTACAACCCTCACAATTGATATAAGTCAAACATATATAAACATGAAATCAAGCCAACGTTATATACATGAGAACTTGCTTCTTGTTTCATATTGAGTCATCGGGTCTCAGCTTCCAGAACAAAGTTGGTGATGTCACAGTAGAACATTTCATGATTATTGTCAGTTTCAAACAAAATTCAAAATCAGACCCTGTATATTTCAATAGGGAAAAAATCCGGATGTAAAAAATCGGACAAGAGTAAATCCTATACGGCATATGGTATATTATTGGTGTTTGACCAATCAGATTTCAGCATTTAGTTCAGCCCTTGTCAGAGAAATATTTTTGTGATTGGTCAAACATCAATAATATATCATATGCCGTATAGGATTTACTCTCGTCCGTAAAAAATCTGTTCCCGGAATGTGAGCTCTTCAACACGGGAGGCACTTTTTTATTTTTGCGCACTTTTTTGAGGTCACCTGACCATGATGTTCTGTGTTATTCTGGTGCTAAATCGAAAAGTTGTTGTTGCTAACTACTACAAAGGTTAAACCAAAGTAGAAATATACATTACAGCCCATTCAGTGTTTTATTTCGTCAGTAAAACCAAAAAAATAAGAAATCAAAATATCATTGTGCAATAATATTTGGAAAAATATATTCCTATTTTACATAAGGCAATAAGAAGTAGATTCTCTGTTTTGTGTCCTGGCAAAATCCAAATCATGCAAGGGAACAAGGAAAAAAACATAAACTCAAGAAAAAACACAAATTTGTTTGCTGAGAAATGTGTACATTTTATGGTCATTAAAAGGGATGACATAGCTATTTTTCAAGGGTAAAACATAAGAAAATACACAATGTATGGCAAAGTAATCGATACACTGTCAATTTTGACGCACATCAAATTATCTGCCATTTCCTCTGATTCTGATTGAACAAAATGCGATGGTACTTTCAGACCCTTGTGATTGCTATTTGGATGTGTTTGTTTTTTCTGATTTACTCCAAATCGTGCAAGTAAGGGGACGCAAAACAAAAAAATTAAATAATCTCAAAAAATATTAATATTAATACTCAAATATCATTCATGTACAATATGAATATACTTTTCCATATATTATTGCACAATGATCCCCTGATTTCATATTGTTGGGTTTCTACTAATGAAATAAAAATAGTGAAATGGGCTGTACAGTAGTTCCACATTCGCAGGCATTCCAATAGCCACATAAATATTTTTAATTGATTGAACTTGGCTTTGTATATAAAAACCTCCTACCTCATACCCAACTACCAACCTACGTGGAACATGATACAGTCACTGAAGGGTTCCATTTTAAAGATTACAAATCTCAAAATTCGATGCCCCTGGTGGGAATCGAACCAAGCTGGGATGTATTAGCAACTTGCTATCAAGGGTCGTTACAAATGCATCTATAATTCATCATAAACTAAGATTTAATAAACTAAAATCTTTGCAATTGAACCCTTCAAAGACTGTATCATGTCCAACGTACGTGGGTAGGTGGGTATGAGGTAGGAGGTTTTTTATACAAAGCCATTGAACTTCACAAAAAGAAATTCATTACATGTATATATACAAGGAATTTATTGAAATGCATTTGTGAAACTGTATATCGATAACTGAAAATGTTAACCCAATAATTATATTTTGGCCTTACAGCATTACATTTGAGTAAAAAAGTTTTAATCCCCAAACACTGGCAACGTTTGCTGTTATATAACTTATATGCTTTCAATAACATTTCAGCTCGACTGATTCCACACTCAGTTGCAAGTGATATTATACCCTTCGCAAAATTGATGAGAATAGCCTCAATCATGCAATAATTGGCTCGACATAAGAGTGAATAACTAGTTTTTGAAAGCCAGGGTTTCATTTTTATCTACAAAATCGTATTTCGCGTTAAATTGTTTCAACAATACATGTCATGTCATGTGACGTAAAATTTCTGCTCTGAAAATGAAATCAGTTTTGTCGCGAAAACTGACACGTGCTGACTTTAGATCCCCGATATCATGATAAAATGAACTTTTGGAACAAGTAAGTGAATGTTTTTTTGTTGTTCTGGAAGTGATGTCAGACTTATCATTGGGAACAAGATCTGAGACACACAAAGTCCAAATTCTTTAATGAGAGAATAGTGTGATAGACTGCAGACTTTAGACATACTAACTTATAAACATACTTATAATATCATACTAACAGATTAGACTTCCTAATAAATTATGTACATACATGTAGTAGCAATTGTTTAATACATGAATTGTCTAAAGATGCTATCAAAATGGGAAATAAAGAGACATAATGAAGTATATTTGAGTTGACGCTAAATAATAATGTATTGAGAGATCAGATTTGAAATGCTTCTTAAATATTTTTGAGTAAGATTTTAATGTCATTGGGTTCTGAAAATGAGAGGGCTCTACAACTGAGAGGGCTCATGATAAATCAAGCCCCCAGCCAAAAATTATTTCAAATTCATGCAATATTTCACCATACTGAGCACTTTTCAAGTGATTTTGGCCATTTTGGGCCATCAAATGTGAACCCCCACTGGAAATTTTTTAAGAGTGCCAAAGCTGTCTACAGGGCTGCCCAATGAGCGTTCATTTCGAGGACTTTTAATTAATGCCCAGTGGGTGAAAACATTCAAGAGATGGCTATTGAATAAAAAACAGCCCGGGAGAAAACAGAAGTGGCAAACAGAACATAAAATTTGGGTGGACTCCCGGGGGTGGACTTGACATGATGTAGCAAAAATATGACAAAAGGTCACATATTGGTCAACAGACATGCCCGCATTCATGATACTATTGCATGAGTAGGAGACTATAAGTCAACTTTAAAATTGATAATAACCCTCGAAATAAATCCCCGATGTTGGAAAAGCTATTTTTCCCTCTAAATATACGCAATCCCCTTGGAATATTTTTACCTCTTAAAATGGCCCATGGGTGTTTATCTTGAGTTCTTTCAAATAACAACCCAGTGGGCCTATTAATGAGAAGGGAGTTTCAAAGGCTACTCATCAACAATCTAGCCAATTACCATTTGTACTGATTAAATTTCCTATATAGGGGTGCGGGATACTGTAGTTATCTTTGACTTAAGAAATTTGACTTTAGTGGATGAGCTAAAGCAACAGTGTAGTGATCATTTTATAATCTTTGAAAAATATTCCACATAATATTTACTGTTTAACTAAAATAATGGTGGCAATAGTTGCAGTTACCCATCAATGGTTGCAATCAATTGTAACTGTTTATTTCAATGGGTTATGGTTTGCAATGGTTTCTTAAAAATGTTTGTGTAACCATCGAAACTTGTAATGAACTTGTAATGAAGGACCAATGGTCCTGTGCTCACACAGTTTGGAACCTTCAGAGGAATGTATATCCTGACTTTCAAACAAAAATATTGATTTGGATGTGTAGTATCGAACTTTGAGAAACTTAGATAGCACAGTTGTGTGACCTAGTTTGATGACCTTTGACCTTGAAAATTTTACTTATTCAGAGCTCAGTAAGGTCTTTTGTGATTAAGCTGACCAAAATTTACATCAAAAAATCAATTTAATAAATCAATTTTTTTGAGCTTTCGAAGGTCACTGAAGGTCAAGTAAAGGCCAAATCCTAAAACTTATGTCAGATTTGAACTCCTGGCAACTTGTAGATGATTTCAAAAAAATTGTTATTTTTACTGTTTTTTTACGTCAACTACAGTAGAACCTGCTAAGTGGAACACCTCTATAAGTGGAACACCTCGCAAGTGGAACACTTTTTCAAAGTCCCGTTTTAAAAACCCATTGACTTAATGTTAATTGAACCTCTGTAAGTGGAACACCTCCAAACTTGAACAGTGAACACCCCATATTGAAAAATTAACCTGCTAAGTGGAACAGTCAATTTTTCATAAATTTCAATATTGATACTTATGTAAAAAGAATTAACCTTCTACAGTGATATCTGGGTATGAAAACAGGTAATGACATGATAATTGGCAAATTAAGATCACCATATAGCAAATTGGATTAACCCCCTGTAGAGATCAACATGTGATGCTGCCACTAATTAATTTGATAATTAGCAAATTAAGATTATCATTCATCAAATTGGATTAACCTCCTGTAGAGATGGACCCGTGATGCTACCTCTAATTAATACCCCTTGCTGTTTGTGTCAAACTTTATAAGTAAGATTAAGAATGTCAGATAAAAATAAATGAATTATTAGCAGTAGGAACAAGTCTTTAAAACTTAATTGCCAAATCTTTGTGCCTGAGACTGGCAGAATGAGGAGGATTAAGAATGTCAGAAACATTTTTGGCAGATTGAGGAGGATTTCGAATGTCAGATACCTTTTTGAGTAAAACAAATGGATAGTTAATGGTATATAGCTGCCCTGCAACAGTGCAATGAACAGAGAATCAGATTTCCGGTGATACATATAAACCCTATATTTGATCTTGTATGTTCTTTAAATCTCCGCGAACCCAAAACCTCCGTAAGTGGAACACCTCCTAAGTGGAACGCTTTTTGGCAGAACGGAGGGTGTTCCACTTACACAGGTTCTACTGTATCTCAAAAACGGTAAAAATTTGATGCTGACATATACTAAGCAATATGTAGGGAATGCTTAAATCTAGTAATGATGTAATTCATTGCAAGAAATGAAAAAGTATAGGGCAAACTTTGAGAAACTTGTCAATCACAAAACCTGCCATTGACTTTATACATGAGTAAGTTTCCTGAAAATGACTAAGTCCTACTTTTTGTCAAATATTATAGAGTATGACACCAAAAAACTGTAATTCCAAGATCCTTTGATCCCTTTCCTTTGATCTTCAAGGTAAAAATAATGGTTACATGATGTGCAATGAAACCATTTTTTTATAAGGGAACTGCAGTGCTAGCCACTTACTTGATTTTGACATATTACATGAGCAGGTCTGGAATGGATATCTTCTATGGTCTGGACACTCTTAGCCACATTGAGATCAAACACTTCTAATGCCCTGTTGGACCCTGCACATAGGGATATATCTACACATGTGTTAAGGAAAGCATACGTTTTATGATAAGCAGCTGCACCTTGCACCCAGGAGAAAATCAATTTGTATTTATTAAAAATCATGAAAGATTTGTGTAACAAATGCATGTTTTGGAAACTTACTATTTGGAATTGGTTGAATTTGATTTTTACATACTCGGAATTGTGAAGTACGGTATAACTAATACTAAGAACCATCCCTGAAAATTTGAAATTGATCTACCAAACAGTTCACAAAAAAACGCGTAGACAAGACTTTACAGGCAAGATTTTAAGACGAAAAATCCAAAATGGCTGTCTTGACATTTATCCAGAATGCCAAAAAACTAATCAGTTCTAGATTTTCATACTAAGAATCATCCCTGGAAATTTGAAATTGATCTACCAAACGGTTCACCTGAAAACCCATAGACAAGACTTTACAGACAAGATTTTAGGACGGAAAATCCAAAATGGCTGCCTTGACATTTACCCAGAATGCCAAAAAACTAATCAGATCTAGATTTTTATACTAAGAATCATCCCTGAAAATTTGAAATTGATCCACCAAACGGTTCACCTGAAAACGCGCAGACAAGACTTCACAGACAAGATTTTAGGACGGAAAAATCCAAAATGGCCAACAATAAAAAAGTGATTATGAGTTTTTGCTGATTTCTTTTTACAAAATTATCACATATAACTACTGTTAACAATAACATAGGCTTTTACAACAAAGTCCATCTGAAATTATTTATAAAGCTACTATAGTTAAAGTATGAAAACTGAAAAACACCATTCAATATGATACATAGAGGATATCCGGTGATTTATCCACTAATGGATACTATATCTGCACGAGTGAGAGTAGCGAGAGAGTGCAGATATCAATATCCATGAGTGGATAGGATGTTCTTTTTATTGCATAGTTAAAGTCATCATCAGAACCGTCGGAAATTAAGTGATTTAATTCTAATTTTCCAAACGATCCGGCGATGTTGACACTTAGCCTTGTTTTGAGTCTGAAGTAGCAAAAATCCATAATTCATAGCATACGGCGCCGTATGTCATGGCTTAAACACATTGATGCTATGGTTAAGTGAAAATTTGTCAAAAATATCATATTTTACACAGACTTCACAGACAAGATTTTAGGACGGAAAAATCCAAAATGGCCAACAATAAAAAAGTGATTATGAGTTTTTGCTGATTTCTTTTTACAAAATTATCACATATAACTACTGTTAACAATAACATAGGCTTTTACAACAAAGTCCATCTGAAATTATTTATAAAGCTACTATAGTTAAAGTATGAAAACTGAAAAACACCATTCAATATGATACATAGAGGATATCCGGTGATTTATCCACTAATGGATACTATATCTGCACGAGTGAGAGTAGCGAGAGAGTGCAGATATCAATATCCATGAGTGGATAGGATGTTCTTTTTATTGCATAGTTAAAGTCATCATCAGAACCGTCGGAAATTAAGTGATTTAATTCTAATTTTCCAAACGATCCGGCGATGTTGACACTTAGCCTTGTTTTGAGTCTGAAGTAGCAAAAATCCATAATTCATAGCATACGGCGCCGTATGTCATGGCTTAAACACATTGATGCTATGGTTAAGTGAAAATTTGTCAAAAATATCATATTTTACACAGACTTCACAGACAAGATTTTAGGACGGAAAAATCCAAAATGGCCAACAATAAAAAAGTGATTATGAGTTTTTGCTGATTTCTTTTTACAAAATTATCACATATAACTACTGTTAACAATAACATAGGCTTTTACAACAAAGTCCATCTGAAATTATTTATAAAGCTACTATAGTTAAAGTATGAAAACTGAAAACACCATTCAATATGATACATAGAGGATATCCGGTGATTTATCCACTAATGGATACTATATCTGCACGAGTGAGAGTAGCGAGAGAGTGCAGATATCAATATCCATGAGTGGATAGGATGTTCTTTTTATTGCATAGTTAAAGTCATCATCAGAACCGTCGGAAATTAAGTGATTTAATTCTAATTTTCCAAACGATCCGGCGATGTTGACACTTAGCCTTGTTTTGAGTCTGAAGTAGCAAAAATCCATAATTCATAGCATACGGCGCCGTATGTCATGGCTTAAACACATTGATGCTATGGTTAAGTGAAAATTTGTCAAAAATATCATATTTTACCACTGATTACAAAAATACCGTTTTTTTTACATGTTATCCTATGGAATAAAAAGTTAGAAAAGACATTCAAAATGGCTGACATGAATGAGCTAACAGGTCCAAAACCTAATCAGATGTAGAATGAAGTGAGCTGAACAAGATGTTAAAGTTTTAAAAGCAACCGTGAAGCCGTTTTTTCTTAAAGTTTGCAGACAAGGATTTCAGCATTTGACTTCAAAATGGCCGACAGGAAGTAGGTTTCGAGTTAAATTTTTTTCATCCACATCTATATGCACTCATAAGTTATCCATGAAAATTTGAAAGTGATATCTGTAGAGGTTTTGTAGAAAACTCCCGGACGGACAGACGGATGGACAGACGCGCCTAGGCCGACAATATGGCCCCACACTATGTGGTTGGGACATAAAAATAATAAGAATAATAACAATAAGAAAACTGACAAAAACAATAGACTCCAGATTTCATCTGGAGTCTAATAATATTTATTACTTTGGTTTAAAATGAAAAACATAAGATTTTTGCGAAAAAATTCCTGTGCTTTTAAAAACGGCAGTCACCTTGACATTTTTTTGGTGTAAAACTATAAACCAATACCCAATACTTTAGGTTGCTGCTTGTATTGTTAGCTTAAGAATATCTTTATTCTTTTAACTTTTGTTCTTCTTTTTTTTGTATTTATTTCATTCTTAGCCATGTGGTATACCTCACCAATGTGCCATATCAAACCACTGTGTCCCGTGTTTGGCCAATTAAGTGAAACTTGCTTCCCTGGGATATGGCCTCCAGGCTCCGAAGAGCTTACATTTAACTAAAGGAAAATGGTTTGTTATGCTTTCTTAAGCTTTCTTTAGCAACATGGCAATTCTTATTCTTTATTTGTCTTTATCTTTCATTGTCTTTGCTCCATTAAAATCATTCTTTTTCCTTTTGTTGTATACTCAGTTAAACTGTTTAGTAATATTCCCATCATTTTATTTTACTTTCCAATGTTTTTTGATTTCTTGTCTCTTGAATTTTTCGCAGACCCACTTATTTTTTTGTTATTGCTTTTTCCATGTTATCATTCAATATGTGTTTTCGAAATCCTTTCTAGTATTTTATGTAGATTGATTACTCTTTGTGTAGCATCTTCTACGTGGCTGCATACTCTTGATATTCTTATGATTTGTGAAATGTGTAATCCATGTGATTGTCGCCTAGGAATACTACAGGATAAATCAGGGTATGACACAATATTAAAGTTTAAATCCTCACGTTTATATTTATGTCCGTATATATCTTATTACAATTTTCATTTCGATGTTCATTTTCCTTGTTTAATATAAGTTCTTTGGGATATATTTCTTTCATGTCTCTCTCCATTTCTCCATCATTGTTGATGCTGCATAAGTCATCTATAAACCTTGTTCCAAGTTCTTTATGCATCTTTTCTATAGTTTGGAACTCATAACTGTATAGGTATCAATTCGCCATAAATGGAGCTGGATCAATACCCATGATAGCCACCAGTTTATGTCTCCTCTGAACGACTTGTTTAGTTTGAATTTGTGATTAAGATGTTAAACTTTGCTGGACGTGTCTATCAGTCTCCTGAGGAATGTTCTTCCTGATTTAACCACTCGGCAGATGAAACTCAGCTTACCGATCAGAGTAGAATTTCACCCCTACAAGCTTTGTCAGAATTTCCAGTTTTTTAATTTTATCTAAAATGGTCAGCTAAATCCAACTTGAACATTAAACAACCACATGTCTCTTGACTCTGTTTAGAGCATCGTCCATAGACACATAGTGACGAGCATATTCTTCCTTGTTGATGTGATCATTAACCGAGGCACCTGGTGGCCAAGTCAAATCATGTATTAACCTATACTAAATATTCATCGAGTGTTTTTTTTTGGTAAACACCCATCGGCGAACAGACAAAATTATCTATTGGAATTGATGTAAATGGTCCAACTTTTCGACCTATGTTAACATCTTTAGCATCACATTTTCAAATGCCTCACTATATTTGTCTGTCGACTTCCAATTGCTATGAATTCGTAATTCTTGAGGACCAGTGTATCCTAGTTTAACACCGTGTTCAGCTCCTTACAGTATCACGCCCGGTGATCGTACAAAAATGATGGAGGGGGGATTTGGCGATTTCTGCAAGAAAACTCAACAAATTTGGAAGATTTATTTTTTCAAGAGAAAATTTACAACTGAATTGCCAAATGAATAGGCGCAGTGCATGGCAAAATATGTTAGGTCATCTAGTATTTTTTTGAAGTGATACCCTTCTAAGATATGAGATCTATTAAAAAAGGCGCATCATCACCAATGTGCAAAAGTCAATGTTTTTGCTATAAATCGGGCAACAATGGTTTACACGACCTGTAATAAATAGGTATAAGGGACGTTATTATCACAATACTAATGACATTGCTCACTTTTTAAAGTTAGTTTCCATGCGTTATACAAAAAATAATCGAAATAAATTAATTTGGGATGGAGGGGGGGGGGGATCACGTGTATATAAGACATGATAAGACATGCTACTTGAATTTATTCTTATGACTCCAGTTTCCCATTTTTCAATCTCAAGAGATATAATATCCTGTTTCTTAGTACTGAGTTTAGTTTTTTCAAATACTTGAGTTCTTTCCATCGTAAAGATATATAAGTCCCCCTCCTGCAGAAAACGCCTAATCCCCCTCCATCATTTTTGTACAATTTTTTTATTTTTTTTTTATTTATTTATTTATTAATTATTCTCATTCATTACATAACATTTACAAAATCTTCAATCGCCAAATACGTGCATGGCATTATA